TTCAACTCAATCGATATTTTACCTCATCGTGCGCGTGCGCGCGAGCTCGTGCGTCCGCAGCGTAACATATCAACAGGTTTTATAATCGCGTCGATAACGATCTGAGACATCGCGCGCAGTTTACGTTGATCGATTGTCGATACGATATCATAAACACTATAATATACCATAATACCTATACAGTTGTATGGCATACCTACAATCTACATACCGGGTATACCGATTTTCATTTATACTTTTTTTTTAATTTTACGAAATAAAACATTTTTGCCGACAATTTGTGCACATAAATCACATTGTACACGTTTATTTATTATAATATCTTTTATCTATACACCGTAGTAGTAATTATCCGGRAAGTATTCCATTCATGCGTGTATAATATCGAACACGCGCGATATGATATAATATATTATATACTTTTTTCGTACAAGCATTTATAATACATACGACGACGTACGTAAACGGTGCCCCGTCCCCTCCCACACATCAATACCCAAAACATAATATTATGTATCACAATATTGAATATATATAGGTAGGTAGATTCTCGGAAACGATACGTGTTTCCGATCTGCGGTGATATTAATATCGGTCGAAAATCGAATACGCCTATTACCGGAGACGCGTGTCTTTGAACGCTACAGGATGTATACCGCGGCKGCAGAGTTGTTGAACCTCGCGATATTTACGATTTATACAATATTACTATATGCGCTTTATGGAYGCCAGTGTGTAACGTGCAATATATTATTATGTAACATGTTAAGTATATATAGTTTTACAACCGGACGATGATAGCATACCTTCCTACCATATATTATATTATACCGAACTATAATGTGTATAATATATTATTTATATCTTATATATGTACATCATTACCCATATATAATGTAATATAATTTACTGTAATTGTAATTATAACAATCTTGTGGAGCAGTGTCTGTGTGTGTGTTATAAACACATTATTATTATATCCAAGTATTCCAAGTACATAGGTATTATAGTATTATACGCATTCAGCGTTGTAATTAAAAACTGGTAAAGGTTTCAAAATTGATTTTTAATCTTTCGCGTTTTATTACAGTGCACTATTACATAGGTACGTAAATGCACTAGCACATTATTATTATGCTGTAAGTGCTGGACACTTCGTTTTGGGATAGATACACTATACGTCTATAGGCACATCATATTAATATTATAGACACTGGCTCATGTAAATAGGAGTGCGTTTTTATTCACAATGCTGATAAGCATATCACATACATAAATATTTCATTGTATACTATATTATACAAAAAATCAAAGAAAACAAAAAAATAAAAAATCGTGGGTCCGCTATAGATTCTAAATAAAATATTAAGATGGTTTATAATTATTTCGATCAAGTGTATATTCCACATCTTCTTCAGTGCTGGTGTCGTTATCATAACACCACGACGATGACCCCGGACTCAAATCGACCACTTCCTGTTTAACTTGCGGTGACCCGTGCTCGACATCCAGTTTTTGATTGTGATTATGCTGCAGTTGCTGAGTAGACGACACAGCCACGTTAACTCGCGGGTTTCTGACGTTTGACACCTGATGCAGTTGGCGTGGTCGAGGAAGGATGTGATTGGTGATCGCCGCGTTTAACTGCTCATTCGTGGTCGCAGTATGGGGATTGTTTTCCACTTCGTCAAACTTGATCTGGGACATAAGCTGCAGGACGCCGATCTTGAAGTTGATCTTTTGCTTTTCGTTCATCGACTTGATGGTGGGTAACAGCGAAACTATAAACGACAAGTCGCCGTCTAGCTGGCATAGCGCGTTCGTKGCCGCCTTGCCCGCGAAGTTGTTGAGCAAGTCGGCGTGCTGTTGTACATCCGGTTGCAACGTTTCCGGTCTTTTGGCTGCAGTTTCCGAGGGCGCCACCACCATCGATGGTGCGTTCCGTGATGAGCCTTCGCCGAGTAGCGTATTTTTACGCATTTTCTTGCTCACCGATAAACCGGCTCCGTCTTCGGCTGGTCGAACACCGCCACCTGATTTTGTATCTTGGATGAAWGGCATCAAAAACTGTAGGTGATCGAACAGATAGTACTTTTTCCTGTGCTCGGGTAAGCGTAATGTCTTTTTAGGTTTATTGCCCTTGACATCCTTGACGAACGAGTCTTTGATGTTTGTCCATTTTTTTTTAACATCGGACACTGTGCGGACAAAAATAGAACGATATCATTAGTWAATAGTTGTAGAAGATAAAACAACAATAACGATACAAGGACATGAAGTAATAATAATTATGTTTTGTTTACCTCTATCGCGTTTATCAAAAACGCCGAGTGTGTGCCAATCGGAGTAAAGATTTCCAGCGATCTCCGTCCACATGTTGGTCAGCATTTCCTTGTTGAGATGGTTCACGTCAGCCGTGTCCCATATGCACGACCGCTTGCGTATCTCATTTATGAGTTTTTCCGTGAAATAGACCATATTAAAGTCGTTCGACCGGTGGGTGAAGGTTTATTATGGCCAATAATACCCAATACCGAATGTCGTAAGTCGTGTTATTATACTAAACTTAAACTCGGAGACGTATATATGTGTACGACTGCCGTAGTGATGTAAATAGATATTAATGACAATGATGATGATAATTACAAAAATGACAAGCATAGCCGGTGGAAGTGAACGCGAGTGTGCGCGAGTTCGTGTACGACCGTTGACTGCGGTCTAAATGGCAGTCGACCGTCCCCGCGCGGTACGAACGGAGCGAAAACGGTGACGTGCGGGTCTCCGGTATCCGCCGGACGGGCGTAGACCGTTCGATAAAATGCTATAGCAACATCAACAACGATAATAATAATAATAATATTACCAAATGCGTGTACGGTGCTCGGGAGGGTCTGACGTTCGGTCGACGGGTGAGGAAGAGGAAATGACGTGCCTGTATGCGGTGGCGGACGGTTCCGGCCGGCCGTGCGGCGGCGAGACGGGGGCAGTGGAAAACGGCCGGTTTGACTGGGTTGATACGGCGGATGCCCGCGTTCAAAACATCCGCCGGTCGATTTCGTCGGTCCTCTCTCACCGCCGMCATCTCCGCTGGTGATGCGCGCTTCTCCACCAGTGGTGCCTAAAGTGTGCGCGGCACCCACGGCGCGGTCTGATGGACCGGAAGGCTTTGCAAACCCATGGCGATGCGGCTGCTCGCGCCTGTTCTGCCTGCGATCGACTACCGCACGCACGGCACACTATGACACGCGATCACGGGACGGACGGACGGACAGTAATATGCGTATACATAATTGCCGTCTAATATTTTTTTTCTACAGAGCTGACTTTGCGTTGTTCGACCGATAAGCATCACAATCGTGACATGCTCACGTATTCCATGATGTTTCAAAAGGGCTTAATATGATAAATAAAAAAATTATTTTCGAGGGAAGTGGGCAAAATATACAAAAGTTTCATCCCACTCACTCCCCCCTCCCAACAAACGTAACCAAATCGCAACACTGTATCGTTGTCGTTATTAAAGTTGACGACAAAGACACAGTACATCTGTTTATCTAAATCAAATCTCAACACGCCAGAAGTTATTTCATGATGATAAGAGGTGTCGGAAATTTTAATTAAGTCCTGCACGCGTTGATCACTGCAACAGGTTGAAATTCGGCATGCTAATGAGTCATTAARTCGGTTTATGCACCGCCACCTTTGTTAACCGCCCACCCTCTTCACGTGTGAATTAAAGTAAAAACACTACACGTTCGATCGGCGCAATGTAATATATAAAATTATACATGCATTATATATATAATATAATGTATTATTAATGGATAGGTATTTATATTATATTAATAAAATATTTAATTAATTAAGTATTTTTTGAATATTCGCCATCCAACCGTTTTTTACGGGTAATTAAGTGATTGAGTATGTATAGGCGTATATAGGTACGTGAACAACTGTTACTGTTTCTATAATATTATTATCACATAATATGTTCTTAAAATACACATGCCCGTCGTTTGGTTTTATGATAGTAGAGGAGTGACTCAAATTATAATTACTCGCCATTCATAGACCTACCTAAAAAACAAAATCAGTTTATTCAATAATTTTAGATTTAAYTATTTAAGTGATATAACCATTATAACCTAAAGGAAACTTATCCCGACCCTTCATTACATCTATACTCTCCCACCCCTGCACAGTTAATCCACACTCTGTCGTCATAATATATGTTAGCTATTTATAGTTTTCATATTGTTTCATTAGGTATTTACTTACCACTCCGAAGAGTACTCGTAGTTTAGATTATTTTACTCATACATGTATTAAAGCAATTCGATATTCTAACAGGATTAAAATTATATATATATATATATATATATATATATATATATACAATTCCCGCGCGTCGTGGTTGGAAACACGCGGCGGTGCGGTCCATTACCTTCCAATTTCCATGGCGGCTCTCTCACTAAACACTCGCAGACACGTTGGTASTTTTGTGATGTACAATTCATCACGATTTTGACCATATTTTTGTAAACAATCCTACCTACAAGATCGTCACCACAAACTTAATAAAAATTTGAATTCCGCCAACCATATCACAACTGATCTGTAACCTAGCCGCTTAAACGTATTTAAGACCCTGATAATAAGTTTTTATTTAAAGATTTCAATACTTCTGTATTGTATAATATTAAAATCACTCAAATAATCAAATATTTTATATTATTTCATATTATATAATATGGATAGACAATAAAAGTTTAGAATATTATTTTTTCCTCTGTCTCGTAGTATCGGTTAGGTTATATCGTAGGTTAGGTAATATCGGTTATACTACAAAATATTTGTAATATCATACAATATAATATACTCACTTGGTATCATGACGCGTATTCTGCAGTTTATTGTAATTTTCCTAACGAGCTGTCGGAAGTCTGTGTGCGTTTTTATCATCTTCTACTATAGTATATTTTTATATTAATATATAAAGCCACTACATTAATACATTCGTATCGGAATTTTCATATTATATTATACATCAATACAAAATATGTGGCACATTCTTCGATATTATACGAAGACCGCGACAAAGACAACGATAATATTAAAATGTGTGTGTGTGTGTGCAAAACACGATTTAAGAATATATTTGTAACGTTTGGTGTGGCAAGATGACGAGGGGGATATTTGCGAGGCGCTCGGCGTAGGCAAAACCGCAACGTGCCAGCGTTTAGTGTCGCCCGGACGACGGTGGCATGATATTACAATATTTTTATTTATCGCCGTCGTTTACCCGTTACAATAATAATAATAATAATAATGATGAAAATAATATTGTTTGGGTGAGTGGGAAGAATCGCCTCTTTAAGCTGCAATACATTATTATAATATCATTATATACGCCGCCTTTGCGTGCCCGGTTTCCGTCGTCGACACTACAACCGCCGCAAATGTGTCGTCGTCGACGGCTCCGGGTCGAATCGTGCGACCATTGTCACCTGAGCTCGCAGCAATAGCGACGAACGACTTACATTATATTATTATTATTGTTGTTGTTGTTATTGTTGTAACGCATATGCGCGTGCGTGGGTATATAGCTGCTGTTATACCCGGGAGCGGTGGCGGAGATAAAGAAAACGCAATGAAACTGAAAAAAAAATAGAAATAACTTCGATAATATACATAAATACATAATATACACGTATATAAGTATAGTTTAAGGTAAATAAAATCGTAGAGAATAGACGGTTGGTGCACGACGGCGGTGGAAARAGGAATATAATATGCGGGATATAGGCCCACGGGGTGGGGTTAGGGGAATTCGCTGGCTATGTATTCATGCTTATTCTATTCTCTCATTTAAATAATACATACTATAGAGTTATAGCCGTTATAAGTTTATATACACGATAGCGCCGTATATATAAACGAGTACACGACGACGACACCTCTCGACCATCGAGGTGGAAATGTAGTTTTTCGCTGTTCGTGAAATTCAAATAACGGCTAACCCTCCTCGTACGACGCGACAACTGCAGCAGCTATTATCACGTTCTGACCCCCGACGCCGCATTTATAATGTGCTGTGCGCGCCGACTTTATAATTTAAAAATAGTATTCATATATATATATAAAATATGTAGTTTTGTGTGTTTTTATATCGTATATATAATATATAGCTAAGCATATTATATTATACTTCGCGTCAGTATAATAATATAATATTGTATTTTTTCATTGTGAAGAGTATACTTAATGTATACGCGCGTGTGCGCAGTGCGAGGAATTTCGATTCGTTTTTCCGCTCTTCCGTTTATATATGTTCACTCTCTGCATTCAACCTCTCGACCGGGATTCGCACACTGACGACATTACGCGCAAAACACACACACAAATAGGTTTACGACATAATAAATTCACTCTTGAGCCGTGCGACCCCCTCATAGTCATGCAGGAGGGGGGGCACCTATTATAACAATATTATATTATACACCGTGGTATACGTTAGTTAAAAATTCAGTGAAGTATTCGGTTCGATAGCCGCAACGTGTGTCGCATTCCTCCCCTGCCGCAGTAGGATATAATAATATGTGAATAAATATCATTCAACGATTGACAGCCTTTTAGAACTGCAGTTACATATGATACATGTCGTTACAGGCACTTGCACAGTTGCACCTATATATAGTATCCGATCAGAAATGTTATAATAATTTGTTCGATCGCGGCACGAACGACCGGCGTAAGGTATTATCTATATCACGCGCGTCTTTTACATATCATAATAAATAATAATATATGATGTACAGTGAGATCACGATTTCAGGTAAAATGTARGATGACCTTGTATTGAAATTGGTTTTTGAGGGAGAACCTAGGAGAAACAACACATTAAGTAAACGTTTTAGAACTTCAATCACTTTCTTATAAGTTTTATATTTTTGTAAATGGTAACACCTATATTTTACCACACGATTTGGGTTGACCGATTTTTTTTTAACCAATCTGACTCCCATAACTCTCGGAACTAAATTATAATGTATTAATGTGTTAAATAACAGAATAACAGTCACCACTCAAATTAAAAAACAAAAACAAGTTTTTTTCAAAATATTCCAAACCATATTATAACTTCCTTTATATATCAACTGCAGTGGTTTTAATATTTATAATTAAATTCTAGGTATCGAGTCGTGTAAACCCATACAAAAATGTTAAATATTTTGACATTATATTATACTGCTGTAGGTATATCATACAAATTCATATTTAAATATCACCGTATAAATAGCCGGCCGCATTGTGTGGTGAGTATACACGATTTACGAATTGGTCGCTCTTAAGTGTGTTTGGTTTGCTCGTGAACCGCGCAGTGATGATGTTATCATTCGTGTACATTCAGGCAGTGTTACACATATATATATATATATATATTAATTTAAAACCGTTGCGCTGATGATTCGTAAAAATATCCTGTGCAAACACAAATCTTCTGTAGGTATACGTGTAGTGTATAGTATTATACRATATATATAACATATACACACACATATAAACTCGCGTCGGGCGAGTATATATGCTCACATTATTACGTTACACATTTATATATGTATATATATATATATATATATATAATGTGGTGGCTGCGGCGCGGCGCTAATCTGTCAGTCGACTTGACGTTTAT